ATTAATATTTAATATAGGGTTTGTTTACTTTTGGTTATGTATATACATATTTTTTATATTTTATAGTTTCAATATTTTTGAAGTGAAATAGATGTTGAATATAAAACTATATACATATGCATAATATATATATATATGTATTGTGAAAAATAGAGATTAAAAAGTATTCACATATATATATATATATAAACTCAAAGTAAATTGACATTTCTTAGAACCATTTTTTAATGTATATTTTAAATATTTTATTTTTATTTTTATTTATATAAAACTTAAATAATTAGGTTCGTATTTATAATCAAATATCATTTTTGGATGAATTAAAAATTTTGTACAAATTTTAATTGAACGTAATAAATAAAATATGAAATGTTTATATATATATATTTTTATGCATTTTTAGTAAAATCTAAAAGGGTGTTATATAATTTACCAAAATAAGATATGATTTTATGGTAAAGTATTTAGATCACCTATGATAGGTTGTAGGTTTGATTTTTGCTTGTATCATTTGAGGAATTTTTTTTTTAATTAAAATAATAATTTAAAAAATTTTTGGCCTAACAAGGTACAACTCAATTTCAAAACGGATGATGCTCGGGCCTAGTTTTTCAGACTTGGTCTCAAACCGAACTGAATTATTATTTTTTTAAGTGGATAAATATATATTATATACACAGTGTTAATATGTGTAAATTATATTTTTATCTTTTATAATATTAAGAATATACGTGTTTGTGTGTATATTAGGACCGACGAATCATGAAAAATTATAAATATATGTAATTGAAAATTTACTTATGTAATTATGGTTAGTTATTGTTTTTATTATTTCCGTTGTTTATAGGGGCAAATCACAATTGAAAAATAAAATAAATAAAATACGGAGATATGTTAGCAAACACATGACTTAAAAAATAGGCACGAGCGCAACCCAGTTTAAAATTATACTAATTTATTTTTTTTTATAAAATTACTATTTTTGTTTCGGGTTTATACAATTATTTTTTTAATTTTTTTTCTAATTAAAAAATAAATTATATTAGTTCAAATACATTAATTAGAGTAAAATTTATTTTTTGATAATAAAAAATTTGAATTGAATAATGTGTTATGCTATAAGTAGTATTAATATTTATTTTGTAGGTTATATAATAATCGAAGCTGACCCAATTAACACGATAATCGAAGCTATAAATATATTATTAAATTCGATTTTTTATTTTTAATTTTTACTCGTGACTCATGTAAACATAATAAAGCCTTTAGGGTAGTTGGTGTTTTAAAATCAATTGTATATTTTATTATATAGCAAATTATATTATTGCATTTTAAAGAACACTTAGTCAACGTTTATTTTTTAATTTAAAATATTTAGAAACTGATATATTTTTCATTTAAAACGTAACATTATTACTAAATTTTTTATCATTTAAAATATTGTAGAAATTAAGTAGCAAATGCAGATCTCATCAACAATCCTACGGTGATGGGAAGGCACATAAATAATATATTAAAATAAAAATAATGTGTACGTATATGATAATATAATTTAGTTACAATAATTACATTAACATTGACTTTCTGTTTAATAAATTTAATTTGTTTATTTTTCCATTTTTTAGTGTATTAGGTATCATATAAAATATTATATTATAAAAGAAAATAATAAAATGAATTGTATTAATCATATGAAAATACTATATATATATATATCAGATTATATCATATGAATATATATATATATAATTATATCATACTCCCTCCGTCCAATTTCTATTATCCTAAAGTATATTTGTACGGTTTTTTAGGTGATTGTCTTTTTGTTATGAATTGACAAATTTACCCTTAATTGTACGGTAGAGATTAAAAGTAATAAATGAATGAAAGGTAAAAATGTAAAATTTGTGTTTAAAAAAGAAATAGGACAATAGTTATTGGACGTCCCAAATAGGAAAGTAAGACATTAGTTTGTGGACGAAGGGAGTATATCATATCTATATATATCTACTAGTTTATAATCCATGCTATGCACAAGTGATTATATAATGTGATATTTCATTTAATTTGATATTTTAAAATAATAAATTTTATTTTGACAATAAAATTTTATATAAAAATACTAAAATTATTTTATATAAAAAAGAAACTACAAATAAAAAATAAAAAATAAAAAATACAGTAACTTAACCAAATAAAGAATATTAAGCAAGTGAACTAAAGTTTCTTAAATATAGTATTTTAATTTAAACTCAAGTGAACTAAAGTTTCTTAATTATTTTAATTTAAACTCAAATATAATCGAGATGAAAAATAATTATTCATAATAACTCTTAAATTAAAATTTAAAATAAAATTAAAAAAATTTGTACCTATCGATGAATAAAATCTCGATTTCTTATCGCATTTTATTTTTTATCGATTAAAAATATTAATTACAGTTCATATAACAAAAGACTCAAATTTGAATATATTTAATTTTTTGAAAGACAAAAAAAATAAAAAATCATATTAGAATAGTAATATTCAGAATCAAATCAATTAGAAAAATATATATAAATAATAATTAATTAGTAAAAAATAAAAATAATAAAAAAAGAAATTAAAAAATAGATACAAAATAATAATAAAAGTACTAAAATAAAAACAAATTTTTTATATATTACTAAAATTTATCATAATTTCCTGTATGAATTTCTCTAATATCCTTTTAAATAAAAAGACTCAAAATTAACATATAATCTACAAAAATAGAGAAAAATATTTTAATATAATATTTAAAATCAAATCAATTAAAAAATATATAAACAATAAGAATAAAAGTAATAAATACAAATAAATATTTTATATATTAAAACTTACTATATAATTTTTTCTATGGATTCTTCAAATATTCTTTCAAATAAAAGATTTCAAATTTAAATATAATCTACAAAATTGAAAAATATACTATAATATAATTATTGAAATCAAATTAATTAGAAAAAATAAATACTTAATCAGAATGAAAAATTATGTTCGAATTTCAAATCTTTTTAATTGTCTATTTTGTTATTCTTATCTTTCTACATATTATTTTTGTTTTAAAATTTCATTGTGTATTTTATCTTTCAAATTGATTTGATTCAATAATATATTTTATATGTATTATAAAAAAACTATTTAATTAATAGTATATAATTTAATATAAAAATAATTCGTACATAGCATAGGTTACAAACTAGTATATATATTTGACAAGGGATTTCAATTTCTCAGTCACAATTTTTTTTTGAGTTTTATTTTATTTTATTTTTTAAATATTGAATTAGGAGAATAAATTAAATTTGTTAGAATAATAAATAATATAATAAAAATAAAATTTATTGGGATAATAAATAACCAAAATATGAATAAAATTAAGTTTTCATATATATATATACTTGAAAGATTAAGTCAAATAATCAAGCTAAAATTGTTCACAACAAAAATTACATTGATATTTTTGTCCAACACTACCCTGGTTCGGAAAAATGGCAATCACTGTTTTGTTCACCGTCAGATCAAGCTAAAATTTACATTAAGTGTTCGTAATTCGTTGCGTTTTCAATTCAACGGTGGATGTTTGATTGGATGTCTATAATGTGATCCGAAATTTACATAATGTGATAAAGTTTTTAGATTTATTTTTGTTGATCTTAATTTTTTTTTTTTTTTTTAATTTGTAGTTTTTCGTTTGTTGATTGAGTGGTGATTGAATGTTTTTATATGCAATTTTGAAAATATCTTATATTTAATTTGATTGTAATAAATATTCTACTTTGATCTGGACGATCCCTAGTGTTTTTTTTTTTTTTTTCCCTTTATCTTGAAGAGTTTTCCATGTGAAAAATATCTTATCTTTCATAGTTTATGTACATATATGATTCTTTATCATTCCTCATATTCTTTCAAAGAAGTAAATAATATTTTATAGTTTATTTACACATAATTTATGATACTTCTTTATATTCTTGTAAAACAATTGCATTTTCCCATCAATATATATATATATAGTGAAATTCTTATACTCCTCCGTCCGTTGACAAATTATTCATTTTTTCATTTTAGACTATCCTATAACAAAGTATTTATTTTATTTTTTAGTAATTGTACGATCTACCTAACATTAAAAATACTCTTACAACTCATAATATATTACACAAATGTCGTTACCTTTTAAAAAAAATGTCAAAAACATCCTACATACTTCCACTAAACAATAAAATAATATTATTTATTAATCTATTACAAAACTTTAAAGAAATATATTTAAGTGGGATGGAAAATATATATATATATATATTTATCACAAAATATCGTATCAAATATTATTTTAATTTCAAATACAAAATCAAAAGAAATATCACATGTACACTATCAATTAAATACATCATCCAATGAATTTTTCAAAATATGACCATATAACTTTTGTACTTTGACATTAAAATAATATATATATATGGAGATAAAATTGCAAAATATTATCTTGGTATATCTATTTTTTTTTTTATTTATCTTGTTAGCAAAAAAAAATATTGTATGCATTTGCAATAATCGTCATTTCTATTTAATTAGTATTAAAATTTTTAAATATAATTAAAGTTTATTATTTTTTCAAAATAAAAAAAGTATAATGAGATATGAACCTCTAGAAATGACAAAATAAATAAGACAAAAAAAATATATAAAATAATATTGTCGTTGAAACCTTCTTCAAATAATAATATGATTAGGTACAAGCATTAGTGGCGTAGCCCGGGGAGGCCCAAGAATATTGGGCCCACCTAATTATTTTAACTTTTTTTTTTTTTTTTTTTTTTCAAAATTGTGTATTATATAGATACAATTTTAGAATTAAATAACTACCACCCCTAATGATTTAATTAGAAAAATATTATTACAAATGCTTAATTTAATGCAGAGTTTGATAAGTCCTAGTCTAAGAAAATTGTAAAAAATTGGAAATAATTCAAGTGGATCAAATATTAGCTTAAATACACATGTTATTTGTTGTGTAAATTGCAAAACTAAAAAAACTTGAATGAGAGAATGGATCAATTCTCTCAAGCAATTCTTACATTAGTCTCGATTCTTGTAGTAGTTTCTTCGATCTGCTACTTCAAATTTCTGTCAAAATCTGCAGCAAAATCCCCTCCAGGGCCATGGGGTGTGCCGATCCTCGGCTATCTCCCGTTCATTGGCGCTGATATGCTCAGTAAGTTCTCCCAACTCGCGAGCAAGTACGGAGAAATTTACATGCTTCGTCTTGGCAACAAGCTTTGTGTTGTCATCAATTCTCCGTCACTGGTGAAGGAGGTTGTCCGAGATCAAGACAATGTTTTCTCCAACAGGTCCCCGCCGGTTGCTGCCTTTATCGGGACTTATGGCGCGAAGGATATTGCGTGGTCGCCCAACAACTCCGAGTGGAGGGCGTTGAGGAAGGTTTTTGTGCGCGAGATGCTAAGCAATAGAAGCCTTGAGGTTTTGTTATACATAGTCATTAATTCTTTGGGAATAGTATTTTATCTCACTCGTCGTCGCGCTCTAATAATTCTAATATTGTGTGTAATACTTACGTGTGATTATTTTCTATATGATATTGCTACTTACTTGAGAAAATTGCATCTTATATCTACAATACTTCATTTATCTCAATTATTCAATTCAAATTTTAAAAAGTTTTTGAAATTTTAATTTATTCAACAATCTATGGTTTTTGTTGGATCCTTTTCTAAAATTGTTAACAAAATTTATAGTATAAAATTTCTGATTATGATATGAGATTTTTATGGATTCTAAAAACACAAGCTGTATTATAAAAAATATATATATATGTACAATTTCAAAACCAAGGCTATTAGGTTTGATTTAGAGTTTTGGTTTCGCACAAAGTATCTTGTAATATTTCAAAATAATACTATGAAGGAAGTTTTTCTATTCTAATGGTCAACCTATTATTATTTTCCTCCATTTTTTTTTCCACCACGATTCATGTCAATATCTTCACAAAGTCGCATCTTAATTTTATTTCATGTGTAGCTTTCTTACACTCTTCGAAAGAACGAGGTGAGGAAGGCCATTCAACGAGTTTCCAAGAATGGGAAGGCAGCTGTTGAGATTAGTTTAATAGCATTTCAAACCGAGCTGAATGTAATAACTAATTTGTTGTGGGGTGAATTGCTTCAAGGAGAAGACAAGGAAATATTTGGAAAGAAGTTTCGCGCGATTATCCCTAAGTTTGTTGATTTGTTCGGGAAGACAAATATTTCAGACTTCTATCCATTTCTGGCAGGACTCGATATTCAGGGAATAAAAAGACAGATGGAGAGCTATCGGGGAATTATAGATAGGATTCTCAATGATATCATTGAAAAGCATAAGAAGAAGTTATCGGAAGGTGTCATGGAAGAAGGGAAGAAGGACTTTCTTCAAATCTTGTTAGAGTTAATGGAGAAAGACAAAGATTCGATAAGTGACACACAACTCAAAGCCTTGATATTGGTATGTTCGATCATGACTAGTTAAGAAAAAAAAAATTTAAATTAAATGACCGTCTCATTTGAAAGTTTAAATTAATCAAAACATGAATTATCAATATATTGTTGCATTATTCCTTCAAGAAAAATTTAATCAAACTCTAGTTGATTTTGTAGGATATTGTTGCTGGTGGAACCGATACAACTGCGACTACAATGGAGTGGGCAATGGCTGAGCTTATGAAAAACCCTATGGTGATGGAGAAGGCGCAAAAGGAGTTATCCGAGGTTGTAGGATTAGATAACATTGTCGAAGAACACCACTTGCCTAAACTAAAGTACTTAGATGCTGTTGTCAAAGAAACATTACGCCTACATCCGGCAATACCCCTTTTGGTCCCAAGATCTCCATCCCAATCTTCCATAGTCGGGGGATATACCATCCCGAAGGACACTATGGTTTTCATAAATGCTGCCTACATCCAAAAGGATCCTCGTTATTGGAATAGTCCACTGGAGTTCAAGCCCGAGAGATTTCTAGACAACGGATGTGATTTTAGTGGTAATAGTTTTCATTATCTTCCATTTGGATCGGGGAGACGGATGTGCGCTGGCCTACCCTTGGCGGAGAGAATGCTAATGTATTTTCTAGCTTCACTTGTGCATTCATTTGATTGGAAATTACCGAACGATCAGAAACTTGATATGTCGGAGGCATTCGGGATGATATTGAGGAAGAGTGTTCCCCTCGTTGCCATTCCTAATGCTCGATTGTTCGATTCGAACTTATATTTGTAAAATATCAACTAACAAACTATTTGCATTTTCATTTTCATGTGTACTAATATTTTCAACTAATTAATATGGGGTTTGCTTAGTTTGTGTTTTATATATATATATATATATATTTATATTTTATAGTTTCAATGTTTTTGAAGTGAAATAGATTTGAATATAAAATTGTATAAATATGCATAATATATATATTTATGAAAAATAGAGATTAAATAGTATTCATAAATATATATATATATATACATGTATGTATATAAACTCGAAGTAAATTGACACCTCTCAACTACAACAATTTTTTTAAAAAATATGAGCAACAAAGAGATCAATCTACCCTTCAAATTCAAAATAATATACCAAGGTTCAATCACAAGATTGCCCTTTCAAAGCTATTCACTCTCCAATTTAGTAAATATGTTCACCAAACTTAAATGTATACCAAAAACACCAAAAGAAAAAAGAAAAAAAAAAGTATATTATACACTTTAATGTTATTCATAAATTTTGATACATATTTAAAATTTTTATTATTGTCGGTAAAATTAGAAATAAACTATCAATTAATTACACTTCGTAATAAATTATCCAAATATCCCCATATAGCTTGTATACTTTATCTACTTTGACATTAATATATATACTACTTTTTAACTCTTTGTGTCAAGCCTTGTATTTGTAAATTTGACAGATGAAAGAAGTATATGATAAGCGATTTTAGGGATTCAAACATTAATATATATACTACTTTTTAACTCTTTGTGTCAAGCCTTGTATTTGTAAATTTGACAGATGAAAGAAGTATATGATAAGCGATTTTAGGGATTTAAACATTAATATATATACTACTTTTTAACTCTTTGTGTCAAGCCTTGTATTTGTAAATTTGACAGATGAAAGAAGTATATGATAAGCGATTTTAGGGATTCAAACATTAATATATATACTACTTTTTAACTCTTTGTGTCAAGCCTTGTATTTGTAAATTTGACAGATGAAAGAAGTATATGATAAGCGATTTTAGGGATTTAAACATTAATATATATACTACTTTTTAACTCTTTGTGTCAAGCCTTGTATTTGTAAATTTGACAGATGAAAGAAGTATATGATAAGCGATTTTAGGGATTCAAACATTAATATATATACTACTTTTTAACTCTTTGTGTCAAGCCTTGTATTTGTAAATTTGACAGATGAAAGAAGTATATGATAAGCGATTTTAGGGATTCAAATATAAAGATCGGCTAGAGCATATATAATTTTGGAAATTTTTTGCTTCCTTTATTTTATTTTTTTTTCAAAAAAAAGACATTGACGAAGAGAAGAATCTTAAGGAAAAAACATGTTTGTGTGTATATTAGGACTGGCGAATCAGGAAAAATCGTAAATTTAGTTATGTAATTATGATTAGTTCATCATTTACATTTTTATAACAGGGACAAATCACAATTGAATATATATATATATATATATATATGAGAATTTATGTTCGCAAGCACATGACTTGTGCATGTAAACAAAATTAGAGTCGACAAAATTGGGCCGGCCCAATTTTTTCGTGCCGGGTAAATCTAGTCTGATTTTGATTTCATGACGTATAGGCCTTGCCAGATTTCAAATTGGGCCTAAAAATATAGGGCCGAGCACAATTCAATTTGAAACTGGACCATTTTTTTTAAAAAAAAATTTAAAAAATTTACTAAGGGTGTGTTCGTTTGTAGGATTTTGACAAAATTTTACTATTCATCCAATATTTTTCTCCCAAAAATATTAAATCAAACATCTATTTTTTATTTTTTATATTATACTAAAAATCAATTTTACATTCAAAACATCGCATCAATACCTATTTATATCACATCATACAACTATTGCAAATTCAAAATTTTTACTATTCAAATCCTAACTCAAAATCCAAACCCCGAAACAAACACAACCTAAGTTTGTTTTGAATTTATACAGTTATATTCTATGTAATTTTTTTGTTAGAAATAAATTATATTAGTTTAGATACATAAATTAAACTTTATTTTTTTATATAATAAATAATTTAAATAGATGTCCACTTGACTTGATGATTTTAATTTCAGAGTTTGAAAACAATGAAGTAGAGCTGCACATCCTGCATTTGTTCGAATTTCGTTATATTTATTTAATAATTTATTAATATATATAAAAAAAAGTATTTAATTTAAAATATATATAATTTTAAATAATCAGGCCGAGCCATGCACAACCCAACCTGTATATAAAGCTGGGCGTGGCTGGTGCTCTAAAATTGAACCGGATCACTTATTATATATATCAAAATATATAGTATTTAATGTTCTTTTTATAAAATTTAAAATATTACATAAGAATTTACTTTCTTTTTATTTAAAAATGACACTCAATATTTATTTATTTACTTCTTCTTTAGAATATACCGTTCTTCCAAAAATATGCACTCTCCAATTTATTAAAATATTACTCCCTCTCTCCCAAATACCATGTCCACGTTGTCGTTTCTGTCCGTCCCACATATCATGTCCACGTTGTCGTTTCTGTCCGTCCCACATACCATGTCACTTTCCTTTTTTGGAAAATGATTACACACTTTAATCTCATTTTAAATTTTTTAATTTTATTTTTTTTTAATTTTAATTAAATTAATTAGTTATCTTAATCTTAATTTATAATTATTTATATTATAGGATAATTATTTTCACTAATACATTCTTAATTATCTAATAATTACACCCCTCGATACCGTGTCTACAGTGTAGCAGACACAGTATCTGGGACGGAAGGAGTATCAATTTTGACATATGATACAAAACTGCGCGCACCATGTTTCAGATTGTCGGAATTGCACAAAAACATTAAGACAATACATAGTGTGTATATAGTGTAGAGTGTCTACAATGATGATGAATTTGTTCGAGACATTTTTTTTGTCCTATCTCAGCTTGGCCTAGAAGAGACAAGATTGACATTGTTGTGATCAATGCCTTGTCTAATATGCAAAGAAGAGACTCCATACAATTTTAGTGCAAGAGGTTTTTATGGCTTGAAAAATATAGTTAACCTTGATGACAAAAAGACCAACTAATTATGTTGGTTTGGCGGCGAGAGAGACGAGTTTGAGTGAAAATTGCGGTAAGAGAAAGAATTCAAAACGCTCTCGAACGTGGTAATCTCATTCTCCCCGGGTTGAAGATGTTCTAACACTTC